AAAAAAAAAAAAAAAAATATATATATATATATATATACTGTTTCATCATTGATGAATACCATAATAGGCAGCTGTATCAGTAATGAACCTATAGGATACTTCTGGACCAAAATTAATTGAGATTCAACATCTGGAATCAAATGTTTTTATGTGAAACACTATGTGATGAAAAGTGGAGCCTCGTCCTTGCGAACTTCATGCTTCTTTAGTGATTACAGAAGTGTGTTTAAAAATGCTTTGCATAAAAGTTCATTGGCAAACTGCTTGAATTATATAACAATTAAATTTTAATGATGGAAAAGCATTGCATTCACTCAGTATTTTCTAATTAATCAATTCAATGGACATGAATCTTCTCACTTTGCTGGTTTTGAAATATGTTTGAGATGATGCTGCTGTTTTGGTTCTCCTGTTGTGCTTTACATTTCCGTTGCTGGTGTCTTAAATTTTAGCTGTTCATCATCATATTTATACTCATGGTATTGATTCAGTAATGTCATTTCTTACGATGCAGGCTAGAAAAAGTTTACGTCGGTTGAAAGGAATGGCAAGACTACAGACTATGGTTCAAACTTATTCTATTAAAAAGCAAGCCACAAGTACATTAAGTCATCTTCATTCGTGGAGCAATGTACAGTCCCAAATTAGAGCTCGCCGACTCTCTATGGTAACAGAAGGCCAGCTAAGACAGAAGAAGATGGAGAATCAGCTAAAGCTTGAGGCAAAGCTTCATGACCTAGAGGTTAGACCAATTGCCCTGGCTCTATAATGATTGTTATTGATTAAGGTGGTACTAATGCTCTGGAAGTTTCTTTTTATCACTGTTTCCATCTCAAGAAATTGGCTGTAGTCTCATCTAAGGTTTTATGAGTGGCAGATATTTAAACAACCTTGTAGAAATTTGCATCAGTTTAATTTCTCAGTTCTTATGTTTTATATCTGAAGATAAATTATTTAACAAGAGTGTGTCAAGGGATGTGGCTTTGTGTAAAAAACAGTTTAGTAACTAGATATCAGCTGTCATGTTTATTGCTTTTTGTAGTTCATGTTAGTTTTGAGTCATTTTATTTATTTATTCTTTTATAGGTAACTATAATCTTATTAGTACCCAGTATTCTTAATCACAACAGACTACTCATAAGAATAGGTCACCACATATCGAGCTTATGAGGTTTCAACTGATGATACCTTTGAACCTTGACTGCAATGCTTGAGCACCCTGCCCCCAAGGCCGCCCTCCCTTCCTATGCTTAATTCCATTTCTTTATGACCGTGATATGTATTTAAGAGGCCTATGTGTCTTTTATTGACAATTCTCATTCAGGTCAGGAAGTCTTGATCATTCTAGACTTGTGTCAGCAATATCCCTTGCATATAAACGTTTGGTGTTGTTTTCATTGGCAAAGTATCTGGATTTGGCAATACAATTGCTAAGCTTGCCCATTTCCTGTTGAAAAACCCCTGATGTCTTGAAATCAGTTGCATTCCTCTTGAATGGAGCCCATTCAGTGCTCGTTCTTGTAATAGTGGTTCATTGGATGACAGGTTGAATGGTCTGATGGACCCGAAACAAAGGAGGAAATTCTCACCAGGATACATCAGAGAGAAAATGCAGCAGTTAAGCGTGAGCGAGCCATGGCTTATGCCTTTTCCCATCAGGTACTATAATCTCCATAACCAGCATTCTAATAATTATGCCAGAGACAGATCAGCAATTATCACATGAAATCTGTGTTTTGCAGTGGAGGGCCAACTCAAACTATAATGGACTCAACAATTATGAACTTGCTAAAGCTAATTGGGGTTGGAGCTGGGTGGAACGTTGGATTGCTGCCCGGCCATGGGAAAGCCGTGTGTCCATGACATCCATCAGCCCTAAAAAGGTTAATAGTAAGCAGGCTAGCAAGGTTACTAAGAACTCAAGTCCACCGTCTGGAAAAGCACCAGCTCTGGTTAAAGAATCTCTATCAATTGGAAAGGGAACTGCAAGAGCTGGGAAGTTATCTTTCCCAGACACTGAAAAACCAGGTGTGCAAGAAAGCACTAAGGATGAAGAAATGAATAACAAAAAGGAAAAGGAGGCAGATAATATGGTCTGAAACTGATCGAAGTGTTTTTTACCCAAAAAGTAAAAGAATTTCAACAGATGTCCATTTGGCGATGCTTTGTTTTTCTCACTTCCCTATTCTTCTTAGCTGTTGAAAGAAATTTTTATGATTGTTTTGACATTCTCTTTTCCCCTTAATAATTTTGAGCACACGCAAGGTTTTTCTTAATTTTCATATTGAGCCATCCTTTAATATTCCGCACATTTTGACATGCATGAATGTGATATGAGTTATATATGCAAACTAATTAACTGGCATATTGGCACTTGGGCCTTTGGGTTTAGTAGCGTCAGGCCACGTATAAGTGCATTTCCTCACTTTCAGAGCAATGGTTTGAATCTGGTTCTTGCAAATTTGTTAAAAAAAAAAAAAATTAACTGGCATATTATTTCAAACAAATCTTTCCTTAGGAAACAGCCCTGTAGGGTGATCTGAATTATATATATACACACATGTACATATACATTTATACATATAGACATACATACGAGTTGGAAGATGAATTTTTAGACAGGTTCTTTATTATTAATATTATTATTATTTTGGAAAAACTACCTATAAAACACTTTCCATATATATATATATATATATATATATATAGCTTCAAAGACCTAGGCCTAGAGGACATATATAGCCTCAAAGACTTAGCCTTGGAGGACCTGACCCACAACATTAGTAATAAAAACCAGTTTGTAACTTCTGGTCGAACCTGCATGTGTAAATAAATATGCAGGTTCAATCAGAAGTTACAAACTGGTTTTTATTTGTGATGTTGTGGGTCGGGTCCTCCAGGGCTAAGTCTTTGGGGCATTGCAGTACTCTTGCTTTTCATTGTTTCTATGGCCAACTGCTGCTTCAAGGCGGCCATGGATTCCAGCAGACTCCTCTTCTCTGCCATTGATGATTTCAAAATACGACTCTCAGACAAACATGCACACACAAGCAAGACGAAGATGAGCCACATCAAGTACTTAGAGGTAGACATTTTGCAATGAAACTTTGTTCTGCTGACAATCTTGAAGAAACCAATGTATATTTATAGGGCTTCCGGAAACTTAGCTTTTACTGTGTAAAGTGGAGAAGGAATTGTATTTAATGTGTCATCTGACTTGGATGAACCGTTTTTACAGTTGGCCTATAGATAACTCAAAACTGCCTCCGACGGCTAACACTGCTATTGCCTATCGTAAGATAATGACAATGTCCATTATAGATTACATGGCTTGCAATATATATATTGGTCTGACAAAGCTTTGCCAATGGGAAACCTGGATCTTAAGAGGTCGGCGTGCGCCGCAAGGATACTTAAAGATGTGTCACTTTCATCATGCAAGTGCCATCGATAACTATTTAGGCAAAAGCAATGGCTATTAGAGTGTTGAGGTAAGTATGATAAGTAAGGCATAAAAATCGAAATGAATTCCACTATGATCCGGATGACCTCAGATTGCAAAGGGGATAGGCGACGCGTTGCATCCGAATAAAGGTGGTGTAATTATGTAATCAAAGATTTCATACCTCTTTACCAAGCCAGTCTACGCTTAAGATAAGATCAACATCACCACCAAGCTATATTACAGTCATTAAGGACATTTTTTTTATGGGAATGCTATGTGTGTAATGTTACTTAGGATTATAAGTTTACAATATAATATGACATTAAATGAGTATAATATATTATTAAACAAATAAATGTATATAATATTGTGAATGGAGTGGACCTTGAATAAAAAAAAAAAAAAGAAGACATATTATGTTATAAATTTACAATGTCATATGACATTATAACTATGACATTTTTGTTTTTTTATTTTATTTTATTTGATATCATTACACACTTATTGTAGGAACGAGGGGATTTTCTCAGCATATATATCCACCAAAAAATTCATGCATTTTCTTGAACTTCTCTCAGTTGAAAAACTGTGAAGAAAGCAATGTACCAATATTCACCCTATGAAATTTTTTATAAGTTTCTTTATCTTATCCATAGCTGTATCCATATCCATATCCCATTAGATGTGCACTCGTATATGATAGTATTCACTTCAAAAATTGTGGTACAAGCCAATTAGGTACCGAAACTCATCCAGTCTTTAAACTTATCATGAAAGAGATTCTTCTTCTTTTTCTTTAGGGGGTGGGGAGCTATATGGTTTTCTTAAACGCCTCTTTCCGTCCCATGATCCCATCCATGTAGACCTATCTTAGGGGGAAAAATATAAGTATCCGGGACCGCGATGGACTCCTTAAAAACAATGTCAATTGTGGCAGATTCCATAAACCTTATATTTCAAGCAATAAGAAAAAGAGAATATGGGGTTCCCACTATCCCAAACGACTTCTATTGTTGGCATTTCTAGTACCGAAGTGGTGACGAATGTGATCAAAGGGTCTTCAGAAAAGGGGCTCATAAGGACTAATTTTTTAGTAAGCCATTTTTCTTCTTTTTTAATTGGCTTAATTACCAGTTAAAAAGGGGAAGAGGAGACTTAATTAATATAGGCACGAAGGTTGATTCATGTGTATCTTTTGATTGAAAGTGCTTCAAGCATTAACCATTTCTTAAAGGAAAAATTAAGCGCAGCAAAGACAGAATTATCAATTCTCCATGCTTAATTTGCAACTGTATTTAGAGACTTATCATTGAAGCAAAAGCATAGTCGTGCTTTCTAACTTGTTAGTGCAGAATCTTTTTCTCCGGTTGGAATAACTATTTCTCCAATGGTTATGCGAGATCAAGTGCTGTTTAAATGTGGAATCTAGTGGATCATTTTAGTAATAGAAGAGAATCTGAGTTACAATTGAGGGAGGATTTTCTTTAGTTTTGTTTATGATATCCATTGTCATAGTTGAGCAAATGTAAAAATTTATTTATAAGTTTAGTATTTAAAATTTTGATCCAATGAGTATTTGTATATAAACTGCAATTTCCACAAATTTATTCTTCAAATGATTTTGAGTTTGTAGCCTAAATATTAAATCTACTAATAAAAAAATGTTACTGTAATTGGATTTAAGTTTTAAGTTTTAAAATCAACAGTCAAAAAATTAATTTTCTTGAAAATGCATTAAGGTGAGATAAGGGTGTCTTTTAAAATAATCTTAAAGAACTTAAGAGGAATTAGTATCAAGATGTGAGAAACCTAACCAAGGAAATATCTTAATTGTAAATAAATTAAAAAAAGATTTTGAGTTTATGGAATCTCTTTATATGCAAAACAAAAAAAAAAAGAAAAAAGAAAAAAAAAAAAGAAAGAAGAATGAATAAGCATGATAAACCCAAAGAATTAGTATGTATATGATAAGAGAGTAATTTTCATTTTTTCATTTTTTTAAAAATAGTTTTCTTTTCCTTTTCATTTGAGAATGGAAAAAAAAAATTAAAAATATGATTGGTACATGGAAATAATTTCTACTTTAAAACAAAATATTCATATTTAATATTTACTCCCTTTGTGTTTATAAACTTAAAAAACTACCCTTAAATTTTGATTTTAAACAATTAACAATTTTAATTAAAAAATTAAATTTTAATAAACTCCATTTTTTTTTTTTTTGCATCTTTGCTTTTTT